TGTTATGGACTACAACTCCCTTGATGCTTTTCCAGCATCATGGCTGTAAGAGCATAATGAAAGATGTAGTCCAGACCATCTGGAGTTCTGAAGTTTGCCTGCCCTTGCCCTAGATCCTAGTAAGAGGCTCTTGAATGGTGTAGTAAGGGGTCTGCTTGCTACTGACACTTAATGTGCAAATGTACCAGCAGTAACGTTAAAAGGTATTTTTGTTCTTTGGGTTTATTATATATAGCAGTTCGTATGAGGCTGTACAGATAGCACATGATATTTTAGACAACAAAATGCTAATTGGGGTACATGGATCAGTGAATAAAACAGCCGTTAAATGTTGCAGAATGCTTTTTAGATAAAATGTGGCAGAGAGGATAGCTCAATGCCAACCAGGAATACAATAAATGTATCAGTTTGGTGTTGAACAAGGATTACCAGGAATTAAGCAGATTATATTATACTATTGAGATATTTAGTACACTTTACACAGGCATGAAGTTATAGTAAGTGACTGTAGACTAGACAATCTCAGTGTTAACATAGTTAACATAAATAATATTTTGAGAAGCTTCTAACAAAAATACATAAAAATACAGGTTATTTGTATAGAGTGTTCTTCTTTTAATTAGTAAACAAGCATAATCTGTCTTGAACTTTGTGGAAGACACAAATAAAATGTAACACTAATGGATAACATTGTGACATGGTATTTAAAGTTCATCTATTTTAGCCTTTTTAACATATACCCTTTCAGAAACTGTTTATCCACAGTGATGGTAAAAATAACAAAACAAGAAACAATGCTGCTGTTTACAGCATTTCACAGTGAAAAAGTGTCTATAACTCCAAAATAAAAAAAATCATGCTTATATAAAAAAATAATGATAATATAAGACAGTTAAACATATGTTAAAAGTATAATTAAGAAAACACAAGAGATAATATGAAATAATAAAAAACAGATACATGTGGATATGGTTCATATACTGACAATAAAAAACTAAACCAGAGGCATGAGTCTCGGGGATGGAGACAACACATTTCAAAAACCCAACATAAAGTTATGTTATCTGTTGTACACAACATAAGTCAGGCAAGGTAGGTGCAATAGGTAACTTTGGTACTCTACTGCTTTCAATGAAGAGCCGACTCTTTTTTTTTTCTCCAAGTCAGTAATTTCACATAATTTAAAATAAATACACTATATTTGACCTTTATGGTTAAAACCCTTAATTTCAACATCAACTATGCTCCTATATTCTTTCCCTTTGAGATAAAGGTAAAATGTGTAGGCACTATGTTGCCCCTGTTCTGTAGTTGTGTTTGCAGTTTATAGATAGTGCTCCATGACAAATATAGGAATTGTGTAGTTACTGTGTGTTCGTTTATTTTTTTACAGAGGCAATGTAAAGTCTTCTCCCACATCTTTTAAAGGTTGCTTTCCTGTAAGCAGTAATTTTATCCACAACAATTACCACATCATAGTACTTCAGATGCATTTAAAAGAAATCTTCTGGAAAAAGCATAGTTACATAGCTGAAAAGAGACTTGTGTCCATCAAGTTCGGCCTTCCTCACATATGTTTTTGCTGTTGATCCAAAAGAAGGCAAAAAACCGAGTCTGAAGTGCTTCCAATTTTGCAACAAACTAGGAAAATAATCTTTCTTGACCCCAAAATGAAAGTCAGATATCGCTTTGGATCAAGCAGCTATTGCACCACTAATTTGAAATTATATCCCTGTATGTTATGTTTTTGGAAGTATTGCTGTTTAAGCATCTGTATGGACTCTGATAAAACCCCCTCTTCAGGCAAGAATTCCATATTCTTATATTTTTTACTGTAAAAAACCTTTTATTTGCCATAGATTAAATCTCCTTTCTTCCAGCCTAAATGCGTGACCTTGTGTCCCATGTATAGCCCTGTTTATAGCGGACCCCAGGTATCTTCCTTCAGCCGCTCAGGAACCACTTTAGAATGTACAGAGACCCATTCCCCCCTAGTAACTGAACGATACACAGCTCTGGAGGTATGACACAACTTTATTGGCCACACACAGCTTTTATGCATAACCACATGCAAGGGGTTTACCATACAGCTATACAAGGTCCCATCCCAGGGTCCTCCCCCTCTCCAGGGCCCTAGTGAGGGAAGGAACTCTTTTCCCTTTGTCCCCAAAGCCCACCACTAAAACACAGGGTTTCCCAGGGGGTCTTATTCCCAGGAGCCTCTGTGCCTGGGAGTCCAGGCGTGGGGAAAAGGGGACCGTCCCTTTGTCTCCAAGGCACAGAAAAGCCCGCCCACAGAAAAAGAGTTTATCTCTTTGTCCCGCAGGCTCAGGAAAGCCTGCCAAACTTACCAGCTTCCCAAAAGATCCCACACCAATCTCAGGAACCCTCATAGTGGTCCTTTCATCTGCTAGTAGCTGTTCGCGAGGTCCCGGTGTGAAACCCAAACAAGGGAAGCATCTCTTTTCTGGGTATAAATGCTCCCCCGGGCTGATGTTCTTCTGTACGAATTGTGGCCACCCAGGGGAGCACTCATTAATTACTTCCCTTGCGGTTTCACACCTAGGTTGCAAGTGTGAACGTTCTGATGAAAGTCCTCGTTCGGGAGATAAATGAGTCAGGAAACAACCTTGAATGCTCCCCCTGGCTTGCATTCATCTAACAAACTGGTAGCCACCCAGCGGAGCACTCATTAATTGTTTCCCTTTCGGTTTGACACTTATGTTGCGAGTTGGGAATGTTCTAACCTAACATTCTAAATGAGGTATGTCCCCGTTTAGGAGGTGAATGAATTCCCTTCGTGGAAGCACTCCCAAACAGGGAGCGGGCACAATAAACGAAAATACAGGGAAAACACCTGTAAAAGAAATGGGAGATTCATGAATAGGCAGCGGTTCTGCCACACAGTTTATAAATAGATTTCCAGATAATTGTTTATACTGGCCCCAAATATATTTTTACAAAGTTATCATATTTCCCTTCTGAGGCACCATTTTTCCAAACTAAAGAGATTTAACCTTTCTTCGTAACTAAAATGTTCCATTACTTTTATCAATTTTGTAGCTTGTCTCTGGACCTTTTTCTTGTGCCATGATATCCTTCTTTAAAACAGGTGCCCAAAATTGCACAGCATATTCAAGGTGTGGTCTTACCAGTGATTCATAAAGATGCAAAATTATATTTTCATCCTGAGAATTTATGCCCCTATTTATACATGACAAAACCTTACTTGCCTTAGCAACTGCAGATTGACATTGCATATTGCTGCCTAATTTGCTGTCTATAACAATTCCAAAATCCTTCTCGTGTGTGTGTTTATGCCTAATTCACTTCCATTCAGGGTGTAAATTGCTTGTGCATTCTTGACCTCGAAGTGCATAACTTTGCATTTCTCTACATTAAATTTCATCTGCCATTTTAGTGCCCAGTCCCCCAATCTATCTAAATCCCTCTTCAGCAAAGCAATATCCTGCTCACATTCTATTACTTTACAAAGTTTTGTGTCATCTGCAAACACTAAAACATGGCTTTCAATATCTATTGCAAGATCATTTATAAATGTGTGAAATAGAAACGGTCCCAAAACAGAACCTTGAGGGACACCACTTACCACTTTTGTCCAGCTTGGAAATGTATCAGTGTAGTGTGTGTGTGAGGGGTGTTGTGTGTGTGTGTGTGTGTATGAGGGGTGCTGTGTGTGTGTATGAGGGGTGCTGTGTGTGTGAGAGGGGTGCTGTGTGTGTGTGTGGGGTGCTGTGTGTGTGTGAGGGTTGCTTTGTGTATGTGTGTGAGGGGTGCTTTGTGTGTATGTGTGAGGGGTGATGTGTGTGTGTGTGTGTGAGGGGTGCTGTGTGTGTGCTGTGAGAGGTGCTGTGTGGGGAGTAGGGGTGCTGAGCAGGGGTAAGGGTGCTGTGCTGTGCTGTGGGGGTAGGGGTGCTGTGTGTGTTGTGGGGGTGCTGTGTGTGGGGGGTATGGGTGTGTGGGGGTAGGGGTACTGTGTGTGTGGGGGGTAGGGGTGGAGAGGCATGCTGGGTGGAGGGGAGGGAAGCTGTGTGTGGGGGAGGGCAGGGATGCTGGGGAAGGGAGGGGTGCTGTGTGGGGGGGTAGGGGTACTGTGCGTGGGGGTTAGGGGTGCTGTGTGTGTGGAGCTGGGGTAAAGATGTTTTAAAAAAAAAAGTATGCTAAATCAGTATCCCCCTCTCCCTCCTTCTTACCTTTAATTAAGGAGGGGGGGAATCAGCCATCCCTGGTGGTCCGGTGGTGGCAAGCACTGCTTCCGTGTCGGTAGGCAGGGGGAGAGATCTGTGAAGCAGCTCCCCTGTCCTCCCACACGATGCTGTGTGGAGAGTTGCCATGGTAATGCACGGCAACGCTCCACACAGCTTGCTCACGGGAGGACAGAGGAGCTGCTTCATAGATCCATCCCCCTGCCTCCTGACGCGGAAGCAGAGTAGGCGCCTGCCGTTTTGTGCAGGCAGGTGCCTACTCTGCATTGATGGCAAACCTATGGCTGCGTCCCCACAGAAAGGGCCCGGCGTGCCACCTGTGCCACGCGTGCCATAGGTTCGCCATCACTCATCTAGACCAATTTCTTTTAGTTTGAAGACTAACCTATTGTGAGGAATGTATAAAATTCCTTGGCAAAATCCAGGTAAATCACATCCACTGCAACACCCTGATCTATACTTTTACTTACTTCTTCATAGAATGCAATTAGATAAGTTTGACATGACCTATGTTTCATAAAACCATGTTGATTATTGCTAATAACAAAGTTTTTCCCAATAATATGATCCTCAATATTATCCCTTGATACACCTTCAAATATTTTCCCAGTAACAGAAGTTAAGCTCACAGGCCTATAATTTCCAGGCAAGGATTTGGAACTCTTTTTAACCCCTTAAGGACACATGACTAGAGATGTCGCGAACCGTTCGCGAACTTCCCGCGAACGGCTCGCCACGGTTCGCCACGAAACGTTCGCGGCGAGTTCCGGTCAGCTGACACATCCCAGCCAAGCTCCAGCAGACCCTCCCTCCCAGACCCTCCCACCTCCTGGACAGCATCCATGTTGAAGGCAGCTTCAACATGGATGGCAGCTTCAACATGGATGCTGTCCAGGAGGTGGGAGGGTCTGGGAGGGAGGGTCTGCTGGAGCTTAGCCGGGATGTGTCAGCTGACCGGAGCTCACCGCGAACGGTTCGTGGCGAACCGTGGCGAGCCGTTCGCGGGAAGTTCGCGAACGGTTCGCAACATCTCTACACATGACATGTGTGACATGTCATGATTCCCTTTTATTCCAGAAGTTTGGTCCTTAAGGGGTTAAATATAGGAACAACATCTGTTTTCCTCCAGTCCTCCAGTACAATACCTGAAACAAAAGAATCTTGAAAGATTAAATAGAGAGGTTCACTAATTTCCCCACTTAGCTCCTTAAGTACTCACGGGTGAATACTGGCCCCGAAGCTTTATTTACATTAATTTTCTTTAACTGCTGTAGCACCTTGTCTCGAGTCATCTAATCATTCTCATTTTCAAGTTTAACCACTTTAATTGCCTTTTTTCAAGTATTATAGGCTTCCTTATATCTTATATAGGATTCCTGTGATGTGCCCGATTTAAATGCTTTAACCCCTTAAGGACACATGACATGTGTGACATGTCATGATTCCCTTTTATTCCAGAAGTTTGGTCCTTAAGGGATTAAATGCCCTTTTCTTCTAATCTCTTGTTTTACTCCTCTACTAAGCCACATTGGTTTCAATTTGTTTTTTTTTCTATATTTATTACCCAATGGTACATACTGAGAAATGTATCTTTCTAATATTTGTTTGAAGAGTTTCTATTTATCCTAAGTGTTTTTTTCACTAAGGAGTTTATGCCAGTCGTTATATTGTAGAGCTGCCCTAATCTTATTGAAACTGGCTTTTTTAAAATTATACATTTTAGTATACCCCACGTGCTTTTACTTATTTGAGTTTATTTAAAAAATTACTATATTGTGATCAATGTTTCCCAAATGCTGCCCTAATTGAATGTTGGTCCATAGATCAACATTGTTTGTTATAACGAGATCGAGACAAGCATCCTTTCTAGTTGGCACTTGTACCAGTTGTGACATGAAGGTGTCATTTAACACATTCTAAAAATCTGATTCCCCTTGCGGAAGTACTAGTCACTCTATCCCAGATTATGTCCGGGTAATTAAAATCTCCATAATTAACGTGTTACCCAGATTTTTAGCTTTCCCAATTTGCTCTAACAGCTGTTCTTCCTCATTAATATTTACATTAGGTGGTTTATAACATATCCCAATCAATAATCGATTTCCCTGCATTTGCCCCAAGCAGATATTTACCCATAAAGCTTCCACATTTTCCTCGTCACACTCCACATGCCTAAGATTTGACTTTAACTCATGGTTGACATAGAAACATACCCCACCACCCTTCTTGTTTTTTCTATCCTTCCTAAATAACATGTACCCATTTATGTTAACTGCCCAGTCATGTGTCTCATCCCCCCATGTTTGTTATGCCTATTATATCATATTGTTTAGTGTATGCTATTGACTCTAGTTCCCCCATTTTGTTATATAGGCTCCTTACATTAGTAAGCATACATATAATATTATCATGAGTCATTTGTAAATTTTATCAATATTACATACCTCCTCTGTTTTGAGCTTGCCATTCCCCCATCTGCACCCTGCTTATACTGAGCTAAAGCCCATCTCCTTTCTATCCTATCTCAATTTTCTAGATTGCTTTGATCCTCTCCCCCTACTACTAGTTTAAAATCTCCTCCATCCCCCAGCACAGCAGACCTTCTTCCGTTTAGATGCAATCCATCACGACTATACAGGTTGTACCCAAGTGCAAAAATCGTCCCAGTGCTCTAAAAATCCAAAACACTCTTTCATGCACCAAGACTTCAGCCACGCATTGACCTCTCTAATCTTCCGCTGCCTTTCTGCTGTAGCGCACGGCACAGGTAATATTTCTGAAAATTTTACCTTTGACTTCCTTTTCTTTAGCTTACTTCCTAGTTCCCTGAGCTCTTTCTTTAGGACTTTTCATTTTCTCTTCTGTGTGAGGCTTGGAAGCTATAGATGCTGAGATTTATTATATATTATGTATATATTTTTTTACTGCTCCTACAGGTTTTCCCACTCTTTGTCACGTTTCACTTGATCTGCATATAAAATCAACATTTAGTGTCTGCAGCCTAACAATTAATTATCTTTTAAAAAAAATTCTTGGTACCTGGATGGAACATCAAATCATGAAACAAACAAATCGTTTGGCCTATTGTCTTTTGTTTGTTTTGTTATTTGTCCATATAGTGTTACAAATTTTATAATTTTGAATCAATTGTTGATCTTCCAAAATTCATATGAATCATAATTCATTTGATTTTGTATACACAAGTCTCCAATAATTACAATCATATAATGTCCCTATTTAACTCCAGGTGAAATAAAAACAATATGTATCCATCTAATTCAAAAGAAAATTACATTATACATGTTTTTCAATTAAAACATTTAACTCACTCTGGGAATTCCATGAATAGGAACTCCATAAACAAAACATATTTTTAAAAAGGTTGAACAGTCAGGTGAATACATATATAAACTAAAATATTTAATATAAATGCAAACATTCTGGATACATGGTTACACAGATCAGTCACAAAATAAAAACCACATGCCTAATATCGTGTAGGTCCCTCGAATGTTACCAAAACAGCTCTTATGCATCATTCCATAGACTCTACAAGACCTCCACAGTTGTCCTCTGGTATCTGACATTAGCATCAAACCCTTTAAGTCCTGCAAGATGTGAGGTGGGGCCTCCATTGATCAGATTTGTTGTTCCAGCACATCCCAGAGCTGCTATATCAGATTGAAAGCTGGAGAATTTAGAGGCCAAATTCTTTGTCATGTTCTTGAAACTATTTCTGAACATTATGTTGTAGTGTGACAGGGTAAAAGACCACTGCCATCAGGGAACACCATTGCAAAGAAGAGATGTACTCTAGTTAGGTGGTACTTGTTAATGTAACATCACATGAATGCCAGAGCTCAACATTTCCCAGCAAAACATTGCCCAGAGCATAACACTGCCTCCTTCTTATCCTGCTGCCATTTCTTCCCAGGAAAATAACATTGCATATACACCTGATCTTCATCCATTCCGAATTTAAGCCGTAAAAAATTCATTTTTTGGATTAAATTTGGTAAAAAACTATTGTTTTTTGCCCATTAGCACGAAAATAACACTGCAAATGCGCAAAAAAAGCCAGCATATAATTCATATCTGGACTTTTGTTTATGTTATAGTAAATGAATACGACAAAGTCCAATAATTTGGAGAAAATCATATTCGGCTGTTAATGAATGCACATGTCTACTGGTTGTCCGTCCTTGCACCACTTTTGGTAGGTGCAAACCACTGCAGAACACACAAGTTGATATATTGAAGAGTCTCTGTCCCAGTTGTCTAGCCACCACAATTGGGCACTTTTCAAAGTCACTCGTATTGTTTCACTTGCCCATTTTCCTGCTTTAAACACATGAAATTCAATAACTGATTGTTCACTTGCTGCTTAATATATCCTACCCCTTGACAGGTGCCATTGTAATGAAATAAATCAATGTTATTCACTTGTCGGTGGTTTTAATGTTGTGGCTAATCAGTGTAATTTTTCTACAAAGAGAAAATATGAGGTCCCACTTCTATGATAAAGCCAGATCTGAATTTGTAAGATTAACTTTAATTGAAACTAATAGCTCTGTTGAATAAGAAGGATTATTGAACAGTTGACGGGTTAACTGTACAAGCAATTAGTCAGATGGGTACTGGATTCATGTGATTTGCTAATGATATATCAAAATGATTATTTTTTATATATGTATAAATGCAAGTGACAGTCTGAGAAACAAACAATATACTGAAAAAGGATTAGTTTGTGAAATCCAATTGAGTGAAGTAGTTATCCACAAGTAATCCTTATTAAACAGAAACATATACTGCACAAGAATCTTGAGTAAACTATATATATTTATAAAACGTAGTTTTGGAGACTATACTTGCATAAAATGTCTAAGCACTTAGTACACAAATGTGTTTGTTTTGGGACAGCATACTGTTTATCAGAATGTTCAGTGCAAAATGAAAGGTACAACTCAGTGGGCAATTGACTACCAACTTATCTCTTCTATGCTGATAAGAACAAAGTTTCCCACACATCCAGGCTGTTGTGTCAGTAACAATACTTTGGTGTGTGAAAATGACATTGCCTTCACAGCCTCTCACATCTGTGTCTGAAGAGGTAGAAGGCACCACAAAACTATTTCAGGCATGGTTAAGAATGGGGAGCAGTAGTAATCTAATTTTAATAGTTGTTTTAATGATGTGGGTAAACAAGGGGATGACCTGTCCCAAACTGTGGGCTCAATGTGTGTCCCTCCGGGAGGCATAACCACCTAGCAAAGATAGTGGAGAATTATTTTGCCGCACTAAAAAAAGCTTGCACAGCAACATCGTTTTAGCCAATCAGATGATCAGGACAGCCGTGCAGCTTGCGACAGCCCTGATCACCTCAGATTTTAAAATGGCAACATTGATGGTGGACTCCATTTCTGTGTCTGCCTAGAGCCTTCCTTGCCAAAGACCTATCCTCTTCATCTTCTGAGGAGGATATAGTTCCAGTTAGTAAAAGAAAAAAGAAGGCTTGCCTTTCCTCTTCAAGTTCTGAGAATGAACTTGATTTTAGTCCCTCTTCCCCTCATTCTCGTTTGAGTAGTCAATGTTTTAAAGGGACGGGACCTGCAAAATGTGTGTTACCCTCGTTTGAGGTTTCAAAACAGTTTTCACACAAAAGGGACAAAACTCATTTGAGTGCTTTCAGTCCCTCACTGTCCACCTCATGAGCGTTTGCTCATTCATCCTCACTAAGCTGGTCCTAGGAAACCAACTGAGACGAGGTGGCCAGTGGGGGTCAAGGGTGGTCCTTCCCACGAGTGTCAGAAAAGTGCTAAACAAGATATTGGAAGGGACAATTCCACTTCCTCGCCCCCTTCTTGAAGGGCCTTTAGAGTTAACCTTGACCACAGATGCTTCAACCAAGGAATGGGGTCCTTTCTCTGCCCAAGGCGTGATAAGAGGTGTTT